ATTTATTTTAGATCTTTATCAGATCTGCTATCGGTATCTATTGAATCTTCTGTTTACCCAATTTTAATTATAATTATTAGAACTAACTTATTATTGAATAGATTGTTATACTATAATCCAAAAAATTGATTAAACTCTAATGCTCTTAGTTTACACTTGGTAACAGGAAATAGGAAAAAACTCAAGTTTGAACAGTTGTGAGTAACATACTGAGTATTATTCATACAAAAATAATTAGAAAAGTGACGACGAGATGCAGTGTCCCATGTTAACAAACTAAATTGAAAAAAAAAGACATAAATTGACTCGATAACAAAGTTCAAATACAAAAGTGCTATTAAGACAAATTTAAAAATAGAAAACTTTTTAGCGGACGAGTTTGATAGAGTAATTATCGGATGATTGAAATATTATTAAAAAGAACAGGAATTATTTTGTTGTGAATAATAATTAATACCAACAATTTTTTAAATTCTTGTAGGTGGTAACTAATCCGCTTCGATCACTTTATCTTAGCATGTAGCTATATTTAATGTCAAAATCCCTCCTTGTAATTACGTTTTAATCTGTAAAATGTGTTTCTTGTGGAATAAATAAATAAATAAAAATAAATAAAAGTTGTTTGTAACGATTCAATTTTTCAACAATGACTGGGATCTATGAACTACTATGGTTTTCTATTAAAATTACAATTCTTTCAACAAGATGCTCACTGTGTTCAGTACATTAAACCTACATAATAAATCACACTGTACTAACTATCAAATGTAAACAAAACAAATACTCATCATCATCATCATCTTTGGCTCGACAATCCTCTGTGGATCCTGGCCTGCTCTAAGATTCGTCGCTATTCTGTTCGGTTTCTGCTGACGTGTTGCATCTTCTGATTTTTAGTATCCCTAAGTCGGTCTCAACTCTGTATAAGCGCACAATTCGCGGTCGGTCTCTGCTTCTTCCTCTATAGTTGTTCCTGTCGTTAGCTTTTTAGCAATCGTATTGATGGCATTCCTATTATGTGTCCAATCATTAAATCATTAAGACCATTAAGTCACCGTGTTTCAATGAACGTTACGACATTTGGTTCATTAAAAAGGGTAGGAGAGGTCTGGGACGTAAAAAAAGTCATGGCTGCCATGGCAATATTCGACAATGGACAGGAATCTACAGCTATGAAATGCTTCGCAATGCTGCTAAAAACAGAATTATTTAATCCTGAATATTTAACATCTCACCTGACAAGACGATGTACGGTGGACGCCTACGCAGAAATGCACGGCACCTTAAGAAGAAGTAAGAAGTGGTATAATTCGAAATTATATCTTATGCGCCACTGTGCTTGGTCGTTTATAGCTCCAAATATTTTCCTGAGTATTTTACGCTCGAATATTCCCAAAAGTCTTTCATCCTTCTGCGTTATAGTCCATGTTTCCGTCCCATATGTGCGGATCGGCCTCAGTTAAGTTTTGTATATAATAATTTTAGCTCTTCTTTGGATATTTTTTGAAAGGAATTGTTTTTGGAGTCCATAGTATGCCCTATTTGTAATGTTTATTCGTGTTTTAATTTCTTCGCTTGTTTTGTTGCTAGTAATCACTTGCGATCCAAAGTATGTGAAGCTGTTACCACGTTCAAAGATATGACTTCCTAAAGCTGCTTTCCGTTCTTCATTTGCTATAGGATCCTTAGGAAAATAAATACTATATTCTCAATTTAATTATTTTATTTTATTTATAACTTTTTAAATTTACTTAATTTTCACGACATACATTCATATGGTTTTATGTTCTACGAGTAGACAAGAGGCGTAATATAAAAAATATTTCGTGAATGTCATAAATGTGCAAAGAACCAACGGACAGACTATACATATACAGTCTCTTAGTAATGGGTTTTAATCTTGAAATAGCTAGCTCATGATAATATTGCGATGTAGGTAAAATATTTTCGTCTTTGCCATTACGTTTGCAATGTTTTGTTATTCCAACAATTCTAGCAATTCCAAAAGTTCATTTTTGTCGTATTATCTTTATCCTCGTATTTTCTTTCTCATTAGCCAATAATCACCATATAATTTTCTGTGGTCCTCTTGGTTTTTGTGTTTGTAATTAATGTTTTATTGGCATATTGATTACAACTAGCCTTTGTTGTGGACTGATTTATTATTTTACACCTTTATGTTCAACCATAACTACTCTGGTTTTGTAAGGTAATTAATTTGATTGTTTGATGTCTGGTATACATTAGTACTGCGAATTCAAACATATCTCGTAGTATTACTTGTTTGTCCAAAAGCTAGTCGATAGTTATTTTCATATTTTTTTTATTAATCTATATACGCTATTATAGTTATTGTTTCCTCTTAACGTATCTCCTTAACTACAGTAAAACTTCGCAGATCGTCAACAAATTCAGAATATACCTTCAATGTTCAGGCAAATATAGTTTTTTGTTGTTTTTATTGGCCTATGATAATGTAAATACGATTCGTCAAATTGTGAAACACTGGGAGTTATATAATGGTCACTTAATGCATCATCCACAAGTAATTCATCTATAACATTGTGGCTGAATGTATTAAATATATCTCAGCCAATTTTATGTGCCAAATTAATTATTTCACCTGATAGTGTCGTTGTTTGAATGGTTGCATTGCTTGCTACACATGCTCGCCAAACCTTTTTCCAACAGATGCCACATGAATCAAACAATCAAAAATAGAAAATTGCTTCCACACGTCTTTTACTGTTAAGGGCTCATTTTCTAGTTTACTCACAATGGATTTGTAAGTTGCCTTTATGTAATATTTTTTAAACGTTGCAATTATCCTTGATCTAATGGCTCAATAAGACTTGTTGTATTGGGCGTTTGAATGTTCTAAGTGTGGATGACCTGCTGCATTGTCAATAATTATTAAAACTTTAAAATCGAGAGATTTTTCCTTCATATAGGCCTCTACTTCTGGCACGAACCATTCTGTAAAAATAGCGCTGGCAGTTGTTTTAAATCTTTGCGTTTTAAAGCACGTGGTCTAAGAGATTTATTTATTAAGAACGGTTTCAACAGCCGATCTCATGATGCATTGCTACAACGTAATACTGTTACTCCATCTTTACTTGCTTTAAGTCCACTTACAGTTTTTTTTTAACCTATGCGATGTAAGTACGGTGAGCGAAGATGCAGGTGTGTTTGTCCTTACACCTTGTCCTGATTGCTTTGTTTCACGCACCAGTCATAGGTCGCTGGTTTTTTCCCTTGGGGAACAAGGTTTTTCCTTAGGGAAATAGGTTCACTTTATATTGTTTGAAAGACCACCCAGAAAACTGGGACAAATGAAAGACTCGAAAAGAACGTTTTATCAAGTCTATTTAAACGATTACAACGTATTTTGGACGCCGATAACTTTCATACGATACACACTTATCGGTGATACAATATTAACCCGAACTAAGTAAACTTATTAATATTACGACGGTGTTAAAGCTTCTTAGGTGCGGCTTGCGCGAATAGAGCCTTCATCCAAAGCTGGAATTTGAACTGATACTAACTTGATGGATTTTAACTGCGAACTGATGTCCATTCTCTCCCTTCCATCACTACGCTCGTAATTGTTTCTAAATATTCAGAAATCTCCCCCCTGAGCCCCTCGACGTATTTAAAAGATATCTTTACATTTCAAATACCTTCGACTTTGAATATTCGAATGAGTCAAACGGATAATTAGGAAAATACTAATCCTTTCATTGTTACGATTCTATGAAGGTTTTAGAAACTTGTGTAGAAAGTTATTTGAATGCAAGCTATCGGCGCTTTACAGATTATTAGTTAGTACAAAGAAATTTTATAAATCTAAACTAATATACAGTATGATATAATAATATGATACAAAAATAAAGTAAAAATATTAAATATTGTTGTTACGCAACATACGGTTAGGCATTTTTTCCAATACAGTCCCGTTTCATCAGCATTAAATACTTGATCGGCACAATAGTCTCCATCTTCAATAATTCTCGCTAGCTCCTGTGGAAATATTCTTGCTGCTGCTTCTTTTGCTTTTGCACTCTCTCCTGTAAACTTGACGTTATGAAGTGCATTTCTTTTTATAAACCCGGTTAGTCATCCTTTGCTAGCTTAAAATTCTTTACCAGCTTGGGAAGTGGAAGTTGGTGGCTCTGACTGAATAGCTTTTTCCTGGATTAAACAACCCCTTACGGGGGTTCTTCTTTGAATTAGTTCCTCAATTCAAATTGCAATGGCTCGTTCTGTGCTTTCCAATAATATATCCCTTGAGTAACTGAAAATTTGGCGCTTAATTTTGTACCAGAAATGATAGATTTTCTTATAGCACCTTCATTCCTCTTAATTGCTCTTACAGTTGATTCTCCTAAATTAAAATGTTTTCCAATTGCCATAGATTCTCCTCCTTTTCCTAAGCGATTTAAAATTGGGCAAAAAAAAGAAATAAAAAAAATTAGACTTACGATATTGAGATTGCAAAAGCTTCTTCTAATGAAAAATAAAACTTTACGACACTCACTTGAAACGGTTCAATCCAAAAACCGTGTTGCTTATTAAATTGCAACTTGGAATCATCAAAATTTATAAAACTAAACACCACAAGAGAACAATTATTTTAAAACAATAACAAGTTATACCTTTCAATGCGAAACTCACAATGATGTAATAGAGACATCATGTAACAAGGGAATTCCCGAATTGCAAATGCTTACTTTACTTAATGTTACAATAGTTAATGTTTAATTATAATAGATAATAATAGAAATTTTTTGATAAATTTTTGGATGAAATACAAACCGCACAACTTTAAAAACAAACATATAAAAATAATCCGCATAAAAATAGACCTTAGTGTATTTATTCCTGTCATTGTATATATTAATTTTATATGATCTCTTCTATTAAACTCAAACCATGTTGTTTCCAAATATCTATCTTTTGCTTATCTCTGATGATATATTTAGATTTTTTGTTTGTAGAAGTGGTAGATTTGCTGCGGAGCCAATAGGAGAACCAACCTCTTTAAAATCTGAGCCCCTAGGTCCAGGAGTAGGTGTTAGAGCAGATTTGTAAATTTATTTCATTTGTATAAATAAATAAGATAGTTAATAGTGTTGTAGTATTTATTTATTAAACTGTATTACAGTGGTACATTACTGTAACATACAAGTCTATATACATAAACCATGATACAAAGTTCTGGTTTTCAAAAAATTGTGTGAATATTACCAAAATTGTATGGTTTTCATATTTTGATAAGTTTTACACAATTTCTATTCTACACTCTACTTCATATCATAATATATTTTGATATGTATAAGAATAATAGAACGCCCTGGTGGTGCAGTAGTAAGAGCGTCAACTTACTAAGTGTAAAAACTCTAGGCTTGAGTTCAAACCTGACCTTGAGAATTTTTATTAAAAAACTCCTTTGTCGGATCGGTACTCATGCGAGGTATCGCAGTCGTTTGGATATAATAAGCGATTCTTTGTAAAGATAATGAATCTGATTTTGTTTATGAAGAAGGCAATTACTCAACAGATAAAAATTAATCTATGTATCATATGTGCCTGACTGTATGACTAATGATCCAAGCCATAAAAAAAAACTAATAGGTTAAGCAGGCCATTCACGTTCCGACTTGCGGTCCAACTTAGTGGTACTACTAGTTGGATATTCGTCTCCACTAACGCTCCGACTTTCTATCCAACTAGCGGTCCAACTTCAGTTCTAGTTTGTTTTCGCGACAGTGTACATCGCTTTTATCAAAAAATGTATCACGTAAACACTACCCAAAATATAATTAGAAGGAGGAAAATGGCAGCATTGTGCTTGTTATCCTTATCTTTTGAAAAAAAAAAGGAAAAAATGTTGGATGAAAAAATTATTCCTTGATCGTGTGAACTATTGCGACACGAAATTGCTAAATGTCATTGATGAGGATGATTACAAAAATTACCTCAGAATGGATAACTTTACTTTTTCGCTGTTCCTGGAAAAAGTTAGTCCACTTATTTCCAAAAAAGAAACTGTTATGCGTGAAAGTATCAGTTCTGAACAACGTCTTGTAGCCACCTTACGCTTTCTGGCCACTGGAAGCTCATTTGAGGATCTAAAGTTTAGTTTCGCTTCTGAAATTATTTTTTGAGCAATTGCTTGCTGTTTAATATCAGTCAGCATTTGGAGATCCCCTGCCACTGATAAACCAAAAGACTCCCACTTGTTCGGAGGTGCAACAGCTGGTACTTCTGCTAGTTTTTAAGCAGCTGTAATGAGTTGCTTTTGAGCAGACATCCGTTTTTTGGCAACTTTTGGTGGTGGGGGTCGAAAATCATTATCTACCTGCAACAATTGAAAAGTAAAACCAAATTGTTCCAGAACAGTTTTTATAAATTAAATTTTATTTTATTGCGTATATTACTGGTAGATAGAAATAGTCACCTAACTGTTATTAAATGATTTAAATACTTAGGGATTTTATGAATTATGTTTTGGGTACCTATGCTAATTTGACTGTATCAATATTCAACAGAGTTGTTTATTCCTTTGTTTCAGTTGCCGAGCACCGAGGAAGAATGGAAAGAGGTGAGTAAAAATTTTGCATCGAAGTGGAATTTTCCTCATGCGCTTGGCGCAATGGATGGTAAACACGTGAGAATAGTTAAGCCTGAGCAAAGTGGTTCTGACTATTACAACTACAAAAAATTTTTTAGTGTGGTGTTGTTCTCTGTAGTCGGTGCCAATTACAAAATAATGTATGTTCACACTGGCACTAATGGACGAGTAGCGGATCCCACAGTTTTCAGGCAAAGCAAGTTCTACGAGCTGATGACCCAAGGAAAATTGAATCTCCCTCCTCCCACCACGCTCCCTATTTCAACGAAATCAACCCCATTTGTGTTCTTAGGGGACTCTGCATTTGCTATTTCGACAAAGATAATGAAACCCTATCCTCATAATCAAGCTACCTATGAACAAAAAGTTTTCAACTACAGGCTTTCCCGAGCAAGAAGAGTGGTAGAGAATGTATTCGGGATTTTGGCATCGCGATTCAGATTTTACCACACCGCTTTGAACATGTCACTGGATAGTGTCGACGCTATTGTGCTAGCAAGTTGTGTACTTCACAACTTCTTGGTACGGAATAGTGGTGGCTATATCACTCAGCAAAGTTTGATTCGTGAATGTATTGTAGAAGGATCATTGTAATCACAGAAATGCATTGACGTCATTTCAAGGACGTAATCAGCCATGGGGTACCAGTGGACGCGAAGTACGAGAGACCTTTAAAAACTACTTTTTAAATGAAGGAAGTGTTGACTTTCAGCAGCGTATGGTTGATGCACACGTTGGATAACGGATAATGCAATTATTATTATAAATTTACGCCATTATAAATTTATGTGAATTATTATATTATATTGTAAAATTATATTTATATGAATAAATTGTATTATACTCGTATCGTATTGCAGTAAACATAAACAATAACAATGGACTATTTTTTACTATGACTAAACAACAGTTGATAACAGAAAAAATTATATTGGAACACAATTTATTCAAAATTTAATGTCTGAGGTTTTTTATTCTAAACAATTTTTGAAAAAAATTTACGGTTCTCTGAGTTCAGAAGCGAATAATTGTGAAACACTTATATTATACACGTATTGTACCACAGAACTGGTATCTTGCAAAAATACCAATTGACTGTTTGTGCAAATGGGATGGTCACAATTTGGAATGGTTATGAGTTAAAAAATACTAAAATATCAGTTAACTATTATTACGTATTGGTATGTAGTTACTCACTTTTTCTGCAATCTGCTCACAATCTTCCGCCTCCTCCACATCGTTCTCCTTGGTATCGCTCAAAATGGTCGTTAGGCTAGATTCAGAGGATGAAGGTATATCTAAGGAATCGGTGCCTGCTCTGGCTGGCCTCTGCACTTCTGCCAAAAAGCCTAATTCATTGTAGTGCACCCAATTAGGCACATACACTTCGTCTGCTCCGGTACCAGTTCCACTTTCACTCACTTGATCTTTTTTATATTCTCTGAAGAAGAAAGAACGTAGAGTCAATTTTTTTACGCACAGAAGCTACATTGGCAGTGTTTTCGTACTTCAACATAAAGCGGCGTCCTCATTGAGTCGACGTTGTCGATCGACTGTGTTTATCGACACTCTCGACTGAGTGTGTACGCGGCAATCGACTTTGTCGATCGATAAAAGGTGTCGATCGACGTGTCGACTGGTTTTCCGTGCTCTGTCGGTAAAATCAAAGGGTAGTCGAGTCGAATCGGAAGTGTGTACGTGCATTCGACGTTCGACCCTCGACATTATTTAAAAATACAGGAAAAATAATTCAGCGTGCGGTGTAGTCTGCCTCATTTAAAGTCTCGTGTTTTGTACTTGTTGGCAAAATGGAATGGGAAAAAGAAAAAGTGATTGCATTTATTGAAGCTTATACATTAAAAACAAATCTATGGAACACTAGAAGCAAATATTATAAAGATCGAAACATGAGGCACGATGCTTTGATGGAAATTGCCAGTGAATTTAACATAGAAAAGCAAGTGGTAGAACAAAAAATAAAAAATCTTCAAAGCCAGTTAGCAAGAGAAATAAAAAAAACAAAGGATGGCAATAAATCTGGCAGTGGCACGGATGATGTGTACAGAAGTAAATGGTTTGCTTATGAAAGTTTAAGATTTTTACGTGACAAAAATAAGACCAGAGAGACGTTGGATTCAGAGGTATGTATAAATTAAATATATTTTACACCTACAATGTCTTTTTTATTAGGCTACATAATATTAATACACATTTTATCACTTTAAGTATTGCCAAGGCACTTCTCCTTCTGGTGTCATAAAATAGTCTTTTAACACGTTTCTCACATGTAGAGCACTCAGTCCACTTTTTCTGGGTATTTTTGCTAAGTTTACTAATACAGGTTGATTACAAACTTCACTTCTCCTAGCTCCTGGAATCAAGTCTGTGGTGTCAGAACAGTCAGCATCGTATGTTCCAGGAGGATTGTAAATATTCCTGGATGCGCTTTGTCTTGCGGTGTCTTGCTTACAAATTTTTGGCCCGATTTTTTGCAACAAATATTCAAATTCACTTTCCGACATTCGAAAAAATTTTCTAAAACCTCCGTTACATCTGTATTCAAGGATCAATAGATCGATATCATCCTTTTTCAAATCTTTCATCAGGTTACTACCGCTATACCGATTTCTACTTTGAAGGCTTGGTCGAACCCAAAATCTTCTTTTACGCGATGATTTACGTTTTTTTGTTGTGATAATAACAAATGCGGCACAAACAATAATGGCGTCATCTTCATCACACATTTTCGTTTCGACTGTCGACAAATATTCTGCCTACCTGGTGTGGACATCGAAGCTTTTTCGATTTGTCGGTCGACAGTGTCGATCGACAATGTCAACTCAATGAGGACGCCGCTTTACATTCAGCAGGCTGTTGTTGGGCTGTTTTTCGCGCATTTCGGTTCGCCTATAAAGCACTAGCGCTATCCCACAAACAGGGATTATCTCTGTAAACATCGATAAATTCGGAAATTCCTTCAGTGTTCATTACGAAATGCGTGAAGTAAATACGAATGTTTGCGTTGTAATGAGTTAATAATCGGCCGATATGTATGTTTAAAAATCAGGTTTCGTTTATCTAGTTATTTGCCTAAGGCTGAACTGATTAATTTTTTCGACTCTTGATTTTTATGACTTTTAAAAAGATGTAGGAAAAAATTATAGTTTTTAAGAATTTGTGTAGGTATATTCTATTTTAGAAAGAAATAAAAACTTGTTTTAAACTGGAGCTGGGATTTATTTTGATGTATGTCTGTCGTATATTTTTAATATGAATAATTTTTCGTGCAATTGAAAGTTATTTTCTATTATTTATTTGCGAACTAGGGATCTTTGCTACAACTATGATTTAGTTTTTGTTGTTTGTTGATAATATTTCTGTAGTCAATTCGGGGTGTTGGAAATTGTACCTGTGTGGGAGTGTCCGAAATAGATCTACAGAAAGGAAAATCATTTGCTCTAACAAAAAGTAGATTATGATTAAGAATCGTG